ACATTAAAATTCATTAAAGTAATTAGAATTTTGAATGAAAATTCAAAAATGATTTTTCGTAGTAAATGCAGACGGTTTTGTGGGTGGTGATCCGGAGATAGCTGCTGTACTACCATTCTTCTCAGTAAATTGTTTAGAGGCGAGGATACATGGTCGAAGAAATGGGTCTGCTAGAATAAAGAATAGCAAAGCGAATCTTTGCTATTGTTATGTTTAAAGTTTAATGCCCAACTTAGTAGCAAAGTTCAATAAAAAAAAACACTGAATTCTTGAAAACCACAAAAAAATGTTTGGCAGCTACCATTATGTTTGCACTTCGATATACTGCGGCAGACCATCTTAGATACTAATGCATTTTTTTCAACATTTACCGTCACCAGTACTAAGAGATATACATATTTTTGCAGTCACTCCATTGATTTGCAAACGCCCATTTTTGCCGGTGAACAGTGAATATATTATAATCGCATGTAATCTTATGTGACGTCATGGATACTCACAGGCGACAAGCAGACACAGGCTTTCTATAACAAATTATATTTATTAAAACAAGAAAAACCAAACCAAATATATACACTTAATAATCTACTTAAACCCTAGCTCTGCATAGACCACTATCCCCTGATCGCGGGCAGCGATCCAAAACCCGATTGAAGATGGTTTTGATTGTGGCATTCGCCCTCCTACTTTTGAAAGCGCGCACAAAGCCTAGCTTACGTTGACGCGGATGTACGCTGGGACACAAAGTCCGTTCTGGCGCACCAACGGCTGGTTTGCCTCGATCGCAGGAGCGATCTTATCCGATGAGAATGGCGTGAATCGTGGCAACTCAAACCAACTCTTCACCTCTGAGCCAGCGCACAACAGCATCGTCCCCGTGACCGCGGTCACACCAACGGACCATAAAGTCCGCAAGGCTTCGTAACTAATGACGTCCAGCCTCGCGAGCCTGGCTCGCATATAGCACCCGTCTAGGCGCCAAGTTTTGTGCACACGCACGAGGTTCTTCCACGTCTCCAGAACCTGCTACTGCTCCGTAACTCTGTTTTATAGGCGCAGGCCCACGTGACCTCTAACGTCAGCGCACCCCCACGCTTGTCTAATATACAGTGACAAAGCTTCTATAAGTCCGGAAGACCCAACCCAAAGCCTTGTGTCCTCCCGTCTCCGCGTTTCTCCCTTTAGGCGGAAAAAACCCTACTTCCTGTGGCGAGACTAATCCGAACAAGCGTCCCCAAATAGATGCCATGAGGCAACGCTGGCTAATACGTTACACTTCACATGAACATATCTGAAATTATACGTCATCGACGGCGGCTTTTTTGAAACTCGCATCGTCATAATCCGAACAACGTCACAGTATATCCAATAGATTTAACACACTATAGACGACATGCATAAACTTCGGATCGGGAAAGAAGGTTATTTTAATTTTATTTGGTACACATGAAATTACACAACACTTGTATGTTGCACATACCTCTTATGATTGAAACGGATCTCCTTTGGTATTTATATATATATATATATATATATATATATATAATATATATATATATATATATATATAAATTTGGTTCCATGTTTTTGTAAACCAAGTATTTGCAGCAGCCACAAAAGGTTTGAGAAGCACGATGCCTCTAAGACCACCTTGCCCGTGGCATGTGCTTCACGTGCCGCCGTTAAATTGGCCCAGCTTTTCCGGTGGTCTGTCCAGCCGACCGGGAGCGTCGAGCCATTCTATGTTATTGGAGCATCGTGCTTAGGGTCATGGTCTTGCTGGAAATAAAAGCGCCCACGAGTCCCAAATTGACGGCACTCCTGAAAATTATGGCACAACACATCAACGTACTTCCTCACGCCAGTCTCAAAGCGGAGACAGCGACTCGTCCCTGCGTCCTTGTGAAACAATTTTTGAACCAAATTCATTGTCTCAAGTTTATCTTTTCTTTTAGACGACACCTCTCTCTGGCCATCTGAGTCGCGAAATTTGAATTGACCACCACCAGAAAAAATTATATTTGGCCAGAATTTGGGAGAATTAATGAGACATGCTTTAGGAAACTTTTTACGGTTCCTTATAATACATTTTATTTCTTTCTCTTCGTATTATGACCAACCGTCATGGTGAGGGGTAATTTCACCCTTCAATATGCTAGCTAAGTCAGTGGGACAGTTGACCATATATTTAAATAAGTACGTAAAAACTATTTCTGGTGTCTCAGGGCTGTAGTTTCTCCGCAGTAACAGGACTCACAATTATTCAAATCGAACCACTTTGATTTTTATACAAAATATACTATAATCTCTTTCAAATCTTTCTCTCACATTTACAAACACAGAATATATACATATCATTTAAATTATATCTTCCTGGAAGGAAAACAATCCTTACATTTTAACCTTTACTGTGCATGCTTTCACTGACCAAGTTTTCTTCTGCCCTTTACAATGATACCATAATATAAGAAATTACATGGATTTCATTTCCACACTAATAAAGAAAGAAAAATTGTTTGATTCATTATTGTCACTTAAATTTTAAATAGTTACAAATCCTTTCTAATCTGATACTCATCTTTTACTTGGTTTCAAATAATATCCTCACTGGCCATCCTCACTGGATTGTTCTTACTTGAATTCGACCGCAGAGTAACGAGGCGTCGGTTACACTCAATCACCACGGTAGAGTCGCCGTTCTTGCGTTCGCCCCGTGACCTTCAAATCACCTCGCCTCTAGTTGGCGGTGCCCAGTTCCTTGAAGTACGCATTCGGGTTGCTTACTGCCCCACGCTGTCTTGCATATCCAAGTATTTTCTCTCCCAATCACGTGATGTGCAAAAGGGAAGTGAAATCGACCAAAGTAACGTTGTAATGGAACAGCTAGTTCTATAACCATACAAAGAAACAAAGAACAATCACGTGTAAATTACACCAATATGTTTAATGCACGTGCTTTCTGCTTTCAAATCGTTACGTTAAATTTTCATTACGCACGCTTTATTTTACATATTTGGTATTTTCAGATTTATAATTAAACAAGTTAATTTACCTCTTCTGAATGTCTGAGAAGAGTTTCAGTTCCTCCGGGAGTCGTCGGTATTTGATGCACAGTTTCTTCGACTTGCTATGTTACTGAACACAACTTGTCCTTTTGGTTGCTTCGTAGTTAAAGAACGTTTTCGCTAGTGCTAGAAGTTGTATCGCCTATTTGCGACACTAGCGTACCTTTTTGTTACTTCGCGACACTGGGCGCGCGTCTTTCAAACTTACCACTCTCTTGTGTGGAAAGATGAATGTACCACTTTTTCCTTTTACATATGAAAAACGAGTGGTCACAATATACTGTGCTGCTAATTATAGAAGCGAATAAAATAATACGTGTGTAGTCACTCGCAAAAATGTAAAATCCCTTGACTTTCCTGAGTAACAGAAAATGCCTAATTTAATCCTTTAGTGATTAGTTTTAATACCAAAAACGTAATTTGTGCAATGTTTTTAAATGCTTGATTTAATCATTTTAACCTATTTTTAGTGCCTAAAACTCGCTCTGCATGCCTGATGGAGCTTAATTTCATAATTTTGTTACCCAATTTAGGTGCCTAAATCATCACTTTTTTAGCCTAAAATTCCGAGGTCTAAATATTAGATACCTCAAATTGGTTTCGTAATAACAAAGTAATAGTAAACAAAGAGAAAACTGTTTTCCATTTCAAATAAATAGTCATACACTCCATTGAATATGAACAATGTACCTGTAACTGATGTTAAAGCAAAAAAATTAAGACTGTCAATTCAGTCAATCCTTAAGTGCAATATTCATATAAGTGAATTGATCACAAAATCAAGTCCATTGTGCTAGACTTTCAGGATTCTTTCAAACCCAGTCAACCTTCATACTGCTTCTGTGTATATTTTGAGAATGTTATCTCGCCGGAGATAAAACATGGGAAACACATGTTATGGTTCCAGAGTATAAGAAAATAATGGTACGAATAATAAACAAATCCCAACTTCGTGATTCTTGTAAGAGTCTCCTTATTAAGCTAGAAATTCTACTATTGCCTTGCCTCTTGATTTAGGAATCAGTAGTTTTTGTAAAAATGACTTACTGACAAGGGGGAACATATTTTCAACCAATACTACCTATAACTACAAGTAGACTCGACCTAGTAATCATATTCGTCAGGTGACAGTATCCACAGATCGCTACACAAAATTCCCATACAATACATCAACATTATTTTACTACACACTGCCAGATAGCACGTGACGAGAGAACTGTCAGAGTCGCTTACACGCTGCCGGTATGATAGACCTGTTATCGGAGCGTGCCCTCTGTGTCGGCGGACGAAACGGAAAAGATGGATAACGAATGCGGGAGGCGCTACCCGATCTCTCGAAAGAGTTTATTGCATAAGCGTTTCTATTAAATATCTCAAACGCATTTTTTATTCCACTTTCAATGGAGGGGGGTAACTGAACCACGTGAACAAAAATAGTATGGAATGCACTTCTGCGACGAAAACTGAATATATATTTATTTAACGCCATAAACAGTTAAAAACTCTGTGACGTACTATGGGGAGAAGTACAATATGTACACGGTAAAACTTCGGTATGGCACAAGATACATTTCAAACCTGTTTTAGAACATTTAAAATAGATATTATAAATAAAAATCCTACTAAACTTTTCAATTCATACGTACGCGTACAATTTATATTTCAGGCGTACATAAACGAGAATGAGAATACTGCAAACGGGAAGAAAAAGTGGCGATTTTCTCGAGAGAAACGCTCCTATTGTAAGTTCATGATAGCAAAAAAGTTGTTAATTCTTACAGCTATATGTAGTACATTACTTCCTCTGATACGTTGGATTGTCAAAATTCAGTTTTGTGGATCCTCGATAACGAAAAATTGGTGTACGTAAAACAGTGCACAAACGCAGTCAAAGCCAACATTTCCTACCATGTTAACAGAGGTAGGTCTTTTACGCTGGAAATTTAAGCGGTCTTTTACGCTGAAACATCAGAAGTCCAGGACTTAAGTTAATTTTCTCATCAATTATCTTTATTACAGTAATTTGTGGTACTATGACGCGGAAAATCAACGCGTTGCTGATGTTAGTATTGTTATAAAAAAAACTGTTTCTCTCGGCGTTATTAAATGTACCAGATAATTTGTTTATCTTGAGCCAAATATAAAGCAAGACATTTCAAACCTCCCTTTGCAGTATACTTGTGTGCGGAGAGCGATTGGAATAAGTGCAAAAAGTGGGGGGTAATTATGAGATGGTAAGTTCTAATATTCAATTAACTATCTCGAGAACGGAAGTTGATAGCACTGATTGGGGAAATTTGTATTGCGTTTAAAGGAGATGCAGAGAAGGCAACAAAAAATTGCAACACTTGTAAATTCATGAACAATTTCCCACTTTTGAAGATCTAAAGGGGGGAGAGTCTCCCGATGTCCCAGAGCCGAAAACCGCGAATTAAGAATTTACAATTTTATAAACAAATTTGAGATATAAGCTAGAACGGCCGGAAAGGATCCACAAATTGTGCCCGAGATTAACTTTTTAATATAGCAGTTTTCACTGTTAATCACGGATATTACGTAGAATTAATTGACTATGCATCCAGAAGTGTATTGCAATTGGCTACAAGTTTGGCCAATGCAATTTTACGGCTTGAGCGTCACAAAGTGTGGTGTAAGTATCTGTTCAAACCAAGAAAAATCAATAAACTCAACATTTTACTGTACGAACATTTTGTCTGCAAGTGCCATGATATTAAGAAAAAAACTGCAAGGGAATTTCATCTATCGTATGTGGCGTTATATAGAACAAAACATTCGCTCACGTTGAAGACATGCAAAAAACATTTGGAGCATGCCAGGAATTCTGTTAATTTCCATAAGTCTTGGTTCGTGTTTCCCATCATTGTTTCGCCGTTGCATATCGTAGTTATAATTTGTAACAAATATGCATTTTAAGTAAATTTAATAGAGATAATAATTAATTCACACATAAAATACTTGATGCTATTAAAGTACTTAAATGTACGGCGAGCGATGTTTGCCTCACCCGACAGTTTCACTGAACACGCGGAGACACGACACTATGCCCACCCCCATTGGCAACGCCACGCCGATCTCTGGTGACGCGACGGTTTGAATTTCGCACCCAAAAGAAACATTTAAACTCAATTTTCTCGAAGACAATTTTTGTTTCAAAAAAACTGGATCTGCCATTCGACATGAAAATCATCATAGAATCTGAGGTACTTTTGTAACGGGAATTTCTGGGGAGACCAGTCGGGAACTTAGTGTGTCCTTGAGGGGACGGCGCATCGCTAGGGGAAGATACCTTGAAGGAGAAATTTGAGGCAAGCCGACGTATAGGTGACCTCCTTGGTTCAGAGCCAGCATTGCCATTGCCTTTCCAGCGACTCTGACCATGAGGTTCTAGGGTTCATGTCCCGACGCTGGCGGGATTTTCAAAACTAGCTGTATACCTTGGCCGAACTCGATCGCTGACTGGGGGAGAATGCTGCTCTGATAGGTAGTTTTCCGTTGTTTCACCGATCAATACCAAACAAACGCCAGAGCAATTCCCTATTAAACGGGCCACAGATCATGCGTGGTATTTCCTCTCTCAGCTTTGTTCTATCCTATCATTTAACCATATACATAAGTTAACATGCTCTACACTACTCAATATGCCGAAATATCTGGTGGGAGTCTCGAACTCGTGCCCGCTGGAACGGTGCTCCTCTGGGGTACAGCTGAATGTTTCTAGTGTGGCCGCTGGGATTCGCGAGTAGAGGGGGAAGCTGAAAGTGGTGGGGAGGGGCCAGGGGTCGGCAGTCACTCGCGTCTGCCACACCAAAAACATTAGCCTACCGCATCGCACGTGCTAGCGAACTTATTAAATTCTCGGCTATTCGGGAGACGCCGCGTCGTTGGCACCCCAGCCAACGGAACTGGATTCGAGCCGCGGAAGCTTACGTGTATAGCGAACTTATTGAAAATTAATTTGCTTTAATGTCCTCGTTCGGTAGTGGAGAATCACTCAATTTACTTGATAGTCCGACTCTGCTCTCATTTACATCTTTTTCACTGACACTGATACCCGTTTCCTCACGTGCATCATTGTCACAGGCATTACTATAGTTTGCGCCATTTCCAGTAAAAACAACGATATCTTGATACGATAAATTAAATCATTGTGCGGCGAATCTTTCTCTCATTGAAACCATCGAGCGCAGATTCCATGTTCTTCCTCTTCCTTTCTTTATTTGAAAATGAACACGATTCTCCCGATTTAATGGAATTCATTTTATTATTACTTCTGCAAATGGATCTTTCCGAAATACCCTTAGCAGCAGCCAAGAACTGCTTTGACATTTTTAACAATTTATTTTGCTTCTCGCTTTATAAATTGATATACTTCGGCAACGACTTCACGTGTCTAATCGTGACGGACTTCCTTACAACATGCTCTGAACCGGACGCATTGCATTAATCACAATAATAGAACAATAATCACTTAAACAGAATATCAAAATCAGTTGTTTCCGGGCTTGAAGGCCGTGGTCCAATGGAGACTTGTCCACGGCCAAGGACCACGGCCTTCAAGCCCGGAAACAACTGATTTTGATATGGAAACCGGCCGTGAAAGCCTACATTGTATGTTAACTTAAACAGAACTTTATAAATCACATACAAATGCTTCACTCTATTGTGCATCCAATAATTTAATTGCACCATGCCCTCTATTTCTATCCAATACAATTTTACGTAAGATTATTTCTTTCTTTCTATCGCAAGCTATGTTGTCAATTCAGGAGGGTCGGGGTTATTCGGTTTGTCCATTCTGTTTCACGCCCAAATATTTAACATGTTTACTCAACGATAGCTTCAGTTGTTTTGATCTTAGATATCTCTTGAGAATGTGATGGTTATTATGTAATTGAGTTTGATGGTTGAATTTCGAACGAATTAATTATAAATGATAGCCAAGTGTTAACGTCTGAATTTTGACGTTCGTAAATTTTCAC